AAGAAATTGGAAAATGAGGGAGGGACTGGAAGAGGGACAGGATGAAAAAAGACAAACAGGAGGGGGAGTGAGAGGGAGGGAGGGTCCATGTGTTCTGTTTAAAGTCAGTTTTGTGCCCACGGCTAATTGCTAACAAATGTTTGAACTTCGTGGAGTGAGCACCTTGAATATCTGTAGCCTCGGCCTGTGAGACAGTAAAATAGTGTTTGTGAACACACACACACAAGTCAAAGCTGTAATCCGTGTCTGGCACCAGTTTGCAGTCTTCTCTGTTTGCTCCCGCTAACATCGACTACTGGCGTCTCAGACTAACACCAGGTGTAACCCTCACAACGCACACATCCGGCCATCGAGCTGACGAGGCAGCTCCAGAGCTTGTTTGGCACTGGATGTTTTCAGCTCCTTGTTTAGTTCTCTGGCACTCACTATGGCATTTTAATGTACTGTAGTTAGTGTACTGCAGCTTCCAGCTGGTGAAAAATAGGATTAGATGCATGAGTTTGCTAATATATATGTAATGTTTCCACATCCTTAAGCCTGTTCTTGTAATGTTACTTCAGTATTTAAGATGTCAGTACATTATAAAGCAAAATGATGCTTGAAATCTTCATTGGGTGTTGTTGACAACTGACATACGTGTAGCTTTATTTGCTCTGGGTCATTCGTTTGTTTTTTTTTATCATGCTCATTTTAAATATTCTCATAACTTTCTTTTGATTTTAACCATAGGCTGAAAATAAAGATGGATGACCGGGCAGCGCCCAGGACGTGCAGCCACTACAAGTCGGTGGCTGGTAGCAGTAAAGGTAATCTGTCATTTTACGCTGATTTGTGTGTAAGTGGTCATTTTTCTGATGCTTGTTTTTAATAAGTTATTTGATTATATGAAGCAGCTGGTATTTCAGCTGACTGACAACTTTGATTGATGGCTTGATGCTGTGGCGCCACCTCTGATCTCTACTGTGCAGAATCTGGTTCCAAAAAGCATCACAAAATTAATTCATTACAATATTTTGGCTTCATTTTTATATAGTGGCAGGAAGTGGTCAACTGATCAAATACCTTTTATTTAAACACTTTAAACACAATTTTCTGAAGGACACAGTCATTATCAGGACAGTTCAGTGCTGCCAGAGGTAGAATTCCCCTTTTAAGGATTACTTATACTGTACATTTGCTCTCCTTTAGTAGAGTCTTAGATGCTATGGTTTGTAAAATTAGGGTTACATTAAGTAATTTAACTTAACGTCACCCAGCTGGGATTTGCTCATAAAGCCTCCAGCCTTTGATTACAACATTACATTTCTGAATCACCTTGGTTCATGCACACTCATAACCACTCATCCACACACACTGACACAGAAAGACAGTTTCCCTTAAACTGATACCAGAATCATCAGAATGTTTGAACTCAAGCTGCAGCCTGTCAGCCGTGGGCCATTCATTACCACTAACAGGACCAGTTAAGTCATATAACTGTGTTTTGTGTTAGAAGCCAGCAGAGCAGCACCGTCACAGCTCTTTCTTTGCATTTGTTCTTTGAAATGTTGGTTGAAGAAGGGCTGTAAAACAGCTTGCAGCAGGTCACGCAACAGATAATTAGCTTAGTCACGGTGGCCGTGCTGCTGGTGGACTGTCAGCACTGAGAGGCACAAACTGAACGTAGCTTGAGGCCAGCAAGTTCTGGTTCCACATGCTGACTTGTGAGATGTGAAAATCTCACAGAGAGTAGTCTCAGGACTAAATCCTCTCCTTTTCTAGACAGTTTGTCTAAGTGTGGACTGATAATCCACACTGAAACATATGGAATCTTTGAGATTACATTGCACCCCTTTCCAGCTTTTTGCAAATCATCAGTCATCTGAGATCTCTTTTTTTTATGTGAGTGTAGGTTTAATCTAGTTTCATTAACTATGTAGTATTAACATAGATTGTGTTTGTTCATAATTGTAACTTGGATGAAGGTCTGAGCATATCTACAGACAAATTTATACATAAATGCAGGGTTCACAAATGTTTTTCTTGCTATTTTATGTCATGAGCAGCATGTCTTCTGGGATTTTTCATTGAGGATAAACACCATAAAACTCTAAAAAGTATTTTGAGAATCTTTTGAGCAATGGTGTCCATCTTGGTTTTATTAGCTCCATCTGGAAGCAAACAAGTCTCCAGAAATAGAGACAGCGAAAAAGGAAGAACGATGGCACCGGCATAGACACGGACATGAATGCCAGAGAATATCTGCTCCTCACCACATAATCACTGCGATTTAAATACTGTCACATTTCCATGTAGCGGTTTGAGAGTGAATGTGCCGTCATGTCAACAGCCAAACTGCTGTTTAATGGGGGATGTGGTGTCACAGCTGATGGGCTGTAATGGATGTAGTCATTATCTGTACAGAGATGTTTTGGTCAGTGTAAACGGGCTCAGACGGACTTCTTATGTTGGTCTACCACCACACAAAAACAATAAATGAAGATGTGGCTAAACTCTCATAGAACAAACTAAATGCATAAAATATGGATCTGAAAAATACCAACCACACAGTAGTGGTCTAGTTTTGTTTAGGTCTTTTAATTATGATCCATAAAATGCTGGAGTGAATTCTTTGAGATCAAAAAGGTTCTAAGGAAAATAATTCTAATGTAACCATAGCAACAGTGTTCTTGATTCATTCATCATTTCCAGTTGACCCTCACTGGTGAGCCTGTCTTTAGTGGAATAGAGTCAGCATTAAACATAGACAGAATATCCTAATCACATGTTCTTAGACCTGGAGGGAGGAGAGTTTCTAAGAATGGAGCTGCTGCCCCCTAGTGTCACATTTGGCTTTTACACTGATGGAGAAGATGGCCAACTCCCTAACAAGTCATCAACAAGTTTCAGTGTGTATTTATTATTTTATTCTTTATTGTCTGTGATCCATGCCCACAGAGCAGGGTTGGTGGGTCTGTTGCTCAGAAAAGCGCTGGGCAGAGCACCTGTCCAGGATTCCCCCCCAAACCCATCAGCTGAAACAAAAAAAGAGAGGAGAAATAAATATATAAATAAATAGCGGCTTAGAGGATGTGCTGCCATCCACTAGCCGCCAGTAGCTGCCCTGGTCTCTGCTGAAGCAGCTGCCCTTCAGCGGCCTGAAGCAGGAGCTCTGACAGCCTCAGCTCCGAGCTTCAGCATGCACTGAAAACTTCATCAGGGTGGTGACCATGCAGCTCTGCAGAGAGCTGCCTGTGGCTGACACAGGACTAAAGAATCTGTGGTTTACTGGAACATCCATCCTATGAGATGACACAGCCCTCAAATGTTATTTGTTGGAACTCATGCATTAATGTTTGTTTCAAGACATGTCAGTATTACTAACAAGACATGAGTCAGTTCTGTTGACCCTCCACACAGCCCTGTCATGTGCTCATGTTTGAACTCCTCTGCCGTGCCTCCCATTGTTGTTATAAATTCCCAAAAGCTGCCTCACTGTTATGGAAAGTGACACATTAGTACAAGCTGCTTTTTCAATCAAAACAAATGCTTTAAATGTCCCGGACCTCTGAGCTGTTTGGACCCAGCTTTAAGTTACCATAGCTGTCTCAGGCTACTATAGGTTATATAGATCTGTTTGTGACAATTAACTTCAGATGACAGTGTGGGGTTTTTTCAGTAACTCCCACACCCTGCTGTTACTGTTCTGCAATATGCAAAGGACTTTTGCACAGCAGATGATTTTAGTATGCAATAGCAGGAAAAGCACAGGTGTAATTAAAAACATTCAAGATAGCTGCAGTGAATTTAGATGTCCCAGGTCCAGGGTCAGTGTGTTATGCTATTCTGTTAACTGGGACACGTTAGTTACAGCTGTCCCTTTCATTTTGTATCAAGTCTTATGCTATTCTGTTAACTGGGACACGTCAATTGAAACAAACCACCGTTAACGCTGTTAGTTACAGCTGTGCCTTTTATTTTGTAACAAGGCAAAAATGTCTGCAGTGAAAAACATCTGTTGCAATTCTGATCAAATTACATGATGTCAGTTTAGCAAATGCAGTAATAGAAAAACTTCCAAAGTTCCAATTTTAGAAATGTGAACATTTGCTGCTTCTCTTGGTCTTAATAGTACACTGATGAACCCACCCCGGGCTCCAGGATACTGTGAATGGGTTCTTATCTGTTTTCCAATCTACAGATTGAATTAATCACAAAAATAATCTGATTAACAGATAATAAAAGTAATCCTCTCATGCCTAGATCCTTATTATAAAACACACAGTTTTGGTGAAAGTGTATAATCTGGTTTGATGATATGCTGACAAAGAAACTTGAAAGCTCTTAAATGTTGAGTCACGTTAGGATGAATCGAATGTTTGTGTCTCTGCTGCTGCCAATAAATGACATAACTTCTGGAAAAGTCCTCAGGTTCAGGAATGTCAAGAGTAAAAACACCACATCAACTGGAAAAGGCTTTCTGATTTCAAAATAAAAGCTCAAGGACTGGTTTGATTCAACATGTTGAATCTATGGTGGAGGACTTAATGCACACAGAACTCACACAGTGACAGTCAGATGAGTATGTGCAACAACAAATCACAGTTGGTTGTAGCTCCCTGACCAGAGGAGAACATCAACCAACAGTGTGTGTGTGTGCAGCTCTATTTTTACAAGCTTTTATTGCTATTTGAGATTTTAAATACAACGCGTGAGAAAACACCATGACATTTATGTAGCAGTTTTTGCACAGACATGAAAAAGAAACGTTTATGATAGCGAATTATTTTGAAGGAGACTACAGGAAATTGTCAGTTGTTTTGCAGGAGTTTGACAGTAGCTGCAGTGGGCAGCGTGCTTGGTCAGTGAATCACGTCTGCACCGTGCCCGTTATCCGCTGATATAAATAGGAGCAGAAGAGAGGCTGGAGCAGCTTCAGACCATCTGGAGTCTGAGGAAACAAACAGCGGTGAGTCAGAGAGGCTTTTATTTTATACAGAGATGCTTTGAGGAAAATTGTCTGTTTGTATGCTGTTTTCTTTGCTTATAAGTCTCATTCTAAAAAGAAAAGAATACTGAAACACACCAGGTTTCACCTTTATTTTATGAACTGTCATTTTGTAAACATGTCAATTGTGATTTGACTTTATTTGTTTATTTTGGACCTTGCCATTTTTATGCTGACTGTATGGCTGACTAGGTGGCTGCTGTTTATACTGCGTACTCATGGGTGTGACCTCCATCTCTGAACCAAAACAACTGGATTAGGGCATCATGACATCATGACATTGTGGCTGGTCACAACCAGCAGCAGCTCTTACTGCACGTAAATTACTTCATGAACATAAACATGCAATTTGATGACGAACTGTTGACAGTGCTGAGCGAAGGAGAGGAAAACAGTTTACGTATAATACCTTAATAATCACTCAGGTTCGGCTGCACCCTGAATTTATAAACCGTGTAGAATGGCTTCATGGCAGGACTGAAGTATCAGAATGTCCAAACTAGATTTTAGTGCATTTTCTGTTTTGACCCAAATTGAGGATAAGCATATGGCAATGCAAAAATCCCCAAACCCTTCAAATGAGACTGAAATGAGGCCACATGTTCCAGTGACCCATTTGTTGGAAATGAAGCCAGGATGTTCCAGATTTCTTAACTGTTCCTTCTTCCTTCTTCTTCGTCATTTCTGCAAATTCTTCTAAGAGAGATGAGTAAAACAAGAAATTATAGTTAAAGATACATATAATATAAACATTACAATACTGTGCCGATAATAAAGCGTCGTAAAACAGCAGCTGAAGCCAGGAATTCTGGTTAATTAGGTTAATGATTAATTAGCAAAATCATTGTTGGTCAGCTCTAGCTGTATTAAAGTGTATAGTATTATATATTTAATATATGGGCAGTATGTGTAATATAAATACACATAGGCCTACATTATTATTATTATTATTAATCTTTACAGCATGGTCAATAGATGTTGATATTTGGAACTTTAAAAACATCTGATGATACATTTAAATTATGGAAATATGCTAATAATATTTTAAACATATAAAGAAACCATTTTAATACAGATCTGTTCGATTTGTTTTTGATATTGTAACTGAGATACATACTGAGCTTCACGTTTTAGTGCACCTATAAACCTGACAGTACGATGGTGGCACCGTTTCTTAAACCTAGTTTAGCGTTTCTGTACTGCAAGTTCTTGTCATAGCAAACAACAAAAAGCTTTAGATATGATCTTTAGATAAAATACAAGTTTGATGCTTACCAGGTAAAAAAACAGAACCGCTGTCTGCTATGCTACACTTAGGAGATGGCAGCGTTTCACTTCATGAATTGGAAACTGAAGTTTCTGGAAGGCCTTTCAGGAAAACATCTGGAGCGCACGACTGTCGCTCGCTTTGCATTCTTTCACTTGTGTAAACAAGATCCCTGCAGCTGCTACTCAGCAAATAATGTAGCTCAACCTCTGCATTGTAAATTGTGTCTTGTTTCTCTCTCTTCATTTTTATTTGTTTGCATTTCACTTTGTCGTTTGCTCTCTCCTCAGCTTTTCATTCTTTTCTCTCTCCACACATCAAAGCTTATTCACTGTGTTTTTCTCATTAAAACTGGTCTGTTTGGAAGTGGTCGGCCCCTGTTTACAAACCTTCCACTTCCCAGCATGCTGTGATTAAGCTGGAGGTTTCTGTCCAGTTGAATAATGACCTTGTTGTGTAAGTGGCTGTGAGCGGCTGTTTGCTGTACTGTAAGTGTTAAATTCATGGCCCCATGAGCTCGTATCAAGAGGAGAAAGCCTTTTTAAGTCCCAGGCGGGCATCCAGTCTTGCTGGTTTTGTAACAGTTGGTGATATTTTTTGATGTTTTTCAAAGCAGATTAAAATGATATACAGAGATGCAGAAAGGTTATGCGTTATCATCTGTGCATTGTGCATCGATCTCAGTGTGGCAAAACTCTTCAGCATGCACTGGCCCGGCGAGTAGGTGCTATAAGCTTTATCCCAAAGGTCAGAAAACTCATTGCTGAAACTCAATTTTAAATTCTAGTGATGCTTTGCCAGATACACCTGGTTGAATTTGATTCAGTGGTGTAGTGGCTGTATAAAAACATGGCATTAGGTCTGATCATTTCATCAGAGCTTGGACGAGCAGATGCTGGGTATAAACAGGATGATACAGCAAACAGGAGAATAAGATGAGTTTTTTTTTTTTAGGAGAAAATGGAACATAGAATTTTGTATGTGAATATACTGGTTTATAGGGAAACTGATGAACAAACAACATGTTTGTGCACGCTGCACTTTGTTTGTTTCCATAACAACAGGAGATGGTGGTGGAGCAGGTGACTGTGCACAAAAATCACTGCAGGAGGTGAAATGCTTTCTCTTGTCTGAAATAGTTACATAAGATGCATTTTGTTTCTGATACACTTTGTTTAAAATGTGCACTGATCAGAAGGCAAACGACAACTTACTCTTCATGCAGAAAGGTCTTATTTGGATTAGACCAAGTGCAAAATGATGCAATGTTTCTTTTAGTTCTGCCGGGTTCCAACTCTTAGTGTACTCTAGCTTTGGGTCATTGTGTAACCATGTGAATGTTAAACACTCATTCAGTTTCCCCCTTTTCCCTTCAATGCATGGCAAAGGGATTTGAACCACTAACTTTCTTATGCATGTTAAAATATGTCATTAATTTACTTTTAATCAAAATGTTGTCTTGTTTTTCCAAACTGTCTGGACCTTAGTGTGGGTATTACATGACCTAAATATGTGATGTGATGAGAGAAAACTCTGATGAAGGCCACAAGATGTGGCTGAAAACTTCCAGTATGTGGACTGGGGGCTGGGACTTTTCACTAAATGGCTGTGATCAAAGTTACTAATGAACCTTCATAATGTCATGACCTTGGCAGATAGACGGGTGCAGTTAGCTGTATACTAGGACGATCATGTGTGGGTGCAGAGATTAGAATCACACTGAAACATTTATACTGCCTGGCAAAAGGCGCCCAGAGACACAAGAGGGCCAGTCCATCTGTTGACTTTCTCTTTCTGTCTGCATCTTGTGTGTGTGAGAGAGAGATGGAGGAGGAGGAACAACAACCAGGAGCCAAAGTCCGTCTCTGTAGAATCTGTCATTGTTGAAATTACAGGCAGCTGACCAAGCACATGTCAGAGAACAAAACGGGCAAACAGAAAGGGCCTGCTGTTCTCTTTTATATAACACTTTTGAAAGGCACAGTCAGTCAGCATCACAGAAAAGACTGATCTGAAGTCAGTCTGGGGACAGTGCCCTTGTTGATGACATGGATGACTTTGCATTATTTATTAGTATTGACTGGTGCAGTTATTTTTATGCCATGCTCTGTAAATATGGAAAACTGCTGAGGAGCGGTGCTCATTTTCTGCTGCGTATGTCTGCGTTTGGTTTCTTTACAGCTTATGTCGCCCTCTACTGGAGCTATAGAGACATTACAACAGTTTTTTTTTTAAACACAGGCAGTTCAGCCTGTGCCTGGATGATCATGTCTGATTTATTTATTGTACAGGTTTTTCTCATCATTGCCTGCTGCCCTGTAAGAGTCAGAGAGGATGTTAATGATGATGATGATGATGAAGAAGAAGGGGACAAAGTCTCTGGCTGTGGTGGCTCTTCTTCTGGCCTCAGCCAACTGTATCCTCCCTCCATCAAAAGAAGAACTTAACGGTAAGTTTCAACTTCATTACAGAAAGTTAGACTCTCTTCACCCAAATTACAAAAAAAAAATAATAATAATAATAATGTGTGTGTGTGTTTTTGTGTATTTTTCATTTTTATTAAAATTGTTTTATTTCAGTTTCCATTAAAAACAGTTCAAAGTGAAGTCTGTGGATTACCAAGAGTAATCCACAGACTTCACTTTGCTCTTGGGATGTTTAAATCTATTTGTTATTGCTGATACCATTTCAGTTCTTCTCATAGACAAATAATCTGAAACCCTGGGCAAATGCATCTAAAGTTACAATATCTCAGTGGCAACACATAACAAGAAATAATTAAGAAAGGATTTTTCTTTCTAATTTGGATGAATGGCCCTATAAAAACCTACTGACCCTGAAATTACTAAAACATTTGCAAAGTGACAGTCTAAAGTGAGCGCTAAGAGCAGTGGTCTTACGTTATATTATTATCCAGTTGTTACGCTGATGAAGATGCTTGAAATATATACATATTAATATTAATATATTAACATACTTTACAGAGATCTCCCTTCAGGGAGAGAAGTACCTGGATAAACAGATTGAGAATGCCATTAATGGTGTGAAGGAGATGAAGAGTGTGATGCAGAAATCTTCAGAGGACCACCAGACGTTCCTGGATGCCCTGGAGAAGACCAAGAAGCAGAAGGAGGTACAGATATACGTGGTAGAATTTATCAGACAGTGTTTCCGTATATTGCAGAATTTCCTGATCTGCTCTGATAACATAGACCAAGAAAACCAAACGGCCAACATCACGATAAGCAGGACCAGTTATCATTTAAGTGGTGCAGTTTCACAGGACATTAACAACTGTCTTACACTATAATGATGGAGATCTTCACACCAGTAGCATCACACCAGTGATGGCACCAAAATAACAAACAGCCTTCCTGTGTAAGTTTCTGTGTGTGCTTTTCCATGTAGGAAGCGATGCGTACAGCTCAGGAGATGGAGGCCCAGCTGGAGCAGGAGGAGGAGGTTTGCAATGAGACCATGAAGGCTCTGTGGGAGGAGTGTAAGCCCTGTCTGAAGAACACCTGTGTGAAATACTACTCCAAGACCTGCAGCAGTGGTTCTGGGCTGGTGGGACGCCAGGTCAGACACTCACAGACACACACGTACTCACTGGACAATATATATGGGGTCTTTGATTATAATCCAGATACTAGCTGGTCAGTGCCATCTTTTATAATGGATATGGTGCAGATTAATTGATCACACATTGCCTTGAGAAGCCACGCTGCTACTTCTTTCTTTGCATTCCCCTTTATTTCAACACAAGTATGCACAGTCAGGAGTAGGATCTTTGGATTTATCATTACTTATCAGAAAAAAAATCAGTCCTCTCTGTTCTTCAGTGACCTGAAAAGGTATCTTTGTCCTTTATCTGCAGCTGGAGGAGGTGCTGAACAGAACATCTCCCTTCTCCATCTGGATCAATGGGGAGAAGATAGACGTCCTGGAGCAGGAGGGACGACGACAGAACAAGGAGTTCAAGAACCTGGAGGACAGATACACAGAGATGGCCGACGGTGTGGACAGCATATTTTCAGACAGTATGAAGGTACGGTTTATCTGCAGGTCATAGATTTTTAAAAAAGGACAAAGATGAGGTTACAGCATATTTAAATTATGGTTATATTACTGGACCTGATGAGGTTCACTGGCTTCAGACCCTGAACTCCACCACCTAACAACCCTGATTCCATAAGTCTGTCCCCTCCTGTGTAACCACCTGCACACGATGCAACTCATGAAAGACCTCAGGTTAATATTGGTTTAATATGCAGCCTGACACGTTTCTCGGCCAAGTCACAGCCGAATTTAAAGCCATCGTGAGCACAAACTCTGACAGCAACCTTCTCAAGGGAAATACACTTTTTGTAGTGTGATCTCTGCTTAACTAAGGAGAAAACTGATACTGAAAGTCTGTCACATTAAATCATTTATTTTTCCAGGTAGTAAGTCTGATAATTGATAGAGAAAACATTTACAGCCAGTCCTTACATAGCATGTGTTATTAAGCACAGAGGAAATGTTTGTGAAACTGAAGCAGCAAAGTGCAGAGTGAATCATTTACGATAATTTTGAGTTTGAAAAGGGGAGGACATGAGATGTTCTTTAATAATAGATCTGTAAAAACTGTCCCCACAGAAGTACAGCAGCCCTGTCCCTGTGTTCTTTGTCTCTCAGGTGGCTAGCCATGTGCACTACAACCCCCCAGTCTTCTTTCTTCCCCGTTTCCTGGGGCCGTACGCTCGCCCCAGCAGAAGCATTCGCTCTCTGTTCCACGATCCTTTCCACAACTTCCAGAGTTTGTTCTCCCCAATGACGGGAATGGGCAGGAACTTCTTCGGATCCATGGGCTCCATGATGGACATGGACACCGACACTCTTCCTAATGAAGGTGCAGTTTCTGACATGCTAAACTTAATTGACAACTACAGATACCCTTTATGCTTTTAGGTTTGTAGCAGAATTGATTTTAAAATCCAGTATAATGTGATGGATAAGTGCTTGCACTAACCTATGTTCATTTTACCTTTTAAACACTGGCAAAACTGCACAAACACCATTTTTATTCTAATGTTAACAAGCTAAGTTGTGAATTGGAAAAAACATTTTCCAAACTGTGTGTATTTGCCTGGTTGCAGATGGCAGCGTGAACGAGGATGTGGTGATCACCAGACCTTTCGGCAACGGCAGGATGACTTGCAGAGAGATTCGCCGCAACTCGGCCGGCTGCCTCAGGTTCCGCGAAGAGTGTCAAAAATGCAAAGAGATCCAACATATTGGTAAGATAACCCTCTGGTGAAATGGTTTTTATTTGATCTTTTTTGCCAAATTGTAAACCTGAATACAAGAAAGGTTTAACAGTAGAGATGATAATTGATCTGGACTTTGAAAATAAAAATCAGAAAGTTAAAAACAGAGGCAGCAAAAAAGTAAAGGAATAAAAAAAAAAAACCATTAAAATGCTATAAATACTAACTGTTCTAAAGGTGAAGTATGTGCAGTGAGACCCGTCTGTGTCCATTCATTCAGTAACCTCTGAGATGTTCTGGAAAATGGTACACAAGTCCATCTTCACCACAGTGAGAGGCTTCAAAACAAAAATCATGCAAACTGTTTTCTTCTCATTAACTGAAGCTCAGCGTAACAGTAAAGTGATTTCCTAATTTTTCTCAAGCTCCATGACAATGTTGTTCGTCTGCTGTTTCCTTCCCAGACTGCTCTGGGAAGAAACCTCTGGAGGGCCCGCTGAAGGAGGACCTGGAGGAGGCCCTGGCCCTGGCCGAGCACTTCACCCAGCAGTACAACGCCCTCCTGAGGAGGTTTGAGGAGCAGATGTTCAACACCTCCTCTATCCTGGACCTGTTCAACAGGCAGTTCGGCTGGGTGTCATCTCTGGCCAACAACACCAACAAGGACGACATCTTCCGCGTTCAGACGGTGTGTAGACCTGCTCTGTTGAATTCACTGTAGTCTCTCTTCTTCTGTCTGGGCAGGTGACGAGCTGGAAACATACAGCACATATAGAAAAAGAGTAAATACAAAGCATCCTGTAATACAGGTGCAAATTCAGGCCAAAATCCAGATTTCAATTAATGGATTAATAATTTGGCCTATAAAAAGTCCTAACACACCAAAGATGTAAAATGTGTCGCATAAGACAACGAACAGCAGCACATCTGGGCATTTTAGTTCAAATGTGAATTAAACAACCGACTAGACAAAAAGCTGGCTTTTTTAGCTGGTAGTAGACTGATTGTTTCAGCAGGCTACAGCTAAACTCGAACCGTTCCTCTCTGTGCTGTAGGTGATCTGCAGGGATCCTGAGGAGAAGAAGCCTGAAGAAACAACGGTGTCTGTGCAGCTCTTCGACTCTCCTCCCATGAACTTCACCGTGCCAGGTGACATCCCCTGGACTGACCCCAAGTTCTCTGAGGTGGTGGCCCAGGAGGCACTGGACCGCTACAAGGAAACCAGCGTGTGAGTGTCAAACAGGGTGACGGTAGGCAGAATAGCCACACGGGAAGATTGATTAGCTGTGCATACAGAGTGTAGACGGTGATGAAACTAGCCTGGCTCTTCTGGAAGTAACTAAATCCATCTACCACCACCTCCAGCATTCACAAATTAACACATTATATTGTGTTAGTATATTTAATTTTTACAAATTGAAAGCATTGGCATGACAAGTTGATGTTTGGAGTCCCAGCTAGCTGACAAAACACCAGGAGTTCGCTGTGTCCGGCAAAGAAAATGGTCATAATGTATTTTCTCTGTCGGTCACAGTCAGCTGTGTGTTTACACAGGGCGGTTGTAATGCTGATGCTTGAGGTGTGAAAGAGACAGGCATTTAACCAATCACCGGTGACTCCTCTGCACACGCACCCACTCACGTTCCTGGTACCTGGTTTTAGTACTACTTCCTGAGCGGTGCTGAAGTTTAGCTCTCAGTACGTCCCAAAGCGGGCGCACCAAGGTGGAAACAAACGTAGAACCCGTTAATCGGCGTGACATGTGTTGGTAGGTTCCTGTAGTGGAAAAACCCCTTTTGACTCCACTACATTACATTTATCTGACAGTTGTAGTTACTTTGTAGAAAAGGCTTTTTACTTTTACTTCCTTTTCCTCATTTCTTACACCAAACTGGAAATATTAGGTTGTTCCCTGATTTAAAAAAAAAAAAAATCTGCTCTTTCATATCCTTTTACTGCCACTACTTGCTTTCTTGACCTAGTATTTTCTATAATGTGGATTAAATTTCAGTGGTAAGAATGCTACTTTTGCTTTATGTGATTTACATTTTCAAGTTGTCAGGATCCTTTAACATCAGAGCCCAACAGGATTTTGAGAATGTAATCTATGGGGAAACAGCAGTCGGATCATATTGAATGAACATTTTAGGAAGAGAGGGCAAAAGCATTACTAGCCATCTCTGATCTCACCGTTTTGTTTTGTTTGTTTTTTTCTAGAGTGGTCAAATAAAGTGTCGCGTGGATGCATTGTCTGCCGATGAGATAATGCTCTGGATTCATCAAAACACACCTGGAAGAAAACCCTGAAGTCACCCACTGATTCTTTTGTCGATCCTCTCAAAGTCCTGCTTTTGCAAATGGCACAGTTTAACCTCAGAGATCTAGATTGTTAGAGCTCCTTGTCCTGCTGTAAGAGAATTCCTTTCGTAGACAACTGGCCTGACTTGTGGCTGTAGTACTTCCAGCATAAGACCTGAGCTGGGCTTTGCAAAAATGGGCCAAAGCACTTAAATCTGAAATGATTTTGTTTATTTCATTCAGTCCATCATGTAGATTAAACTGATATTTTCTGCAGAAAAAGAAAGAAAGAAAAAAAAAGTGGATTTGTAGCAAAAAGCTGAGAAAACCGAAGTCAGAGCAAGTTTATTCAGGCTGTTTCAGTGATTTTAACAACCTGATCGACACTTCTACAGATCTAATCCCAGTTGGTTGAAGTGGTTGAGTTGCTGGAGTTAAAATCACTGATTGAAGAGAGAAAGTAACAATAGAAGTTGATAATGTTCAGGATTTCTTTAAGCTCCTCTGTAAAACAGCCTAGCAATGAAGCAACATGCAGATTAAATCAAACCTGCTCAAAACAACTGTCTCTGCCATTATTACGAACCTGTCTTTACTTAACTCTGTATAAATACATGCAAACCAAAATTCTGCACCAAATTCCAAGAAACTGACCGTGATCCAACGGTCCCGTAACAAACCCTTCCTTCATTAGGATGACTATGTTCAGTTTTTGTTTGAACCGTTTCAGAGGTGTATGATTGTTTTGGAGGCTGTTGCTGCTCAATTGTATCTCATTATACTGACAGCTGTTTCTATTATTTTGTCCAAACCACCTCTCGGTATACTGCAGTACAGTTCAACAGCAGCACAAAATGATCCTGAAGATGTGAAACGGTTTGAACAGAGTCTGATCATTACAACCTTCATGATTTATTCCAGGCCTGCTGGATTAGGTGGTTAGGTTTAACTAGATGCACAGTAGGCTACCTAACAAACTGCAAATGCCAGTGATTCTAGAAATATCAAGTTGCCAGTAAACTCTAGGTCAGTATGTACTGTGTATATGAAGTGAAATGACAACCCCTGCAGCAAATCAGCATTAAACACTAGAATTACCACCTCGTGGTCATGCACCTAGTTATAGTTTACATGCACATCTGTCCCGACTCGTATGTAGTGAAGACTAAAAGAATTAAGACAAAATGAAAGTTAATGGATGAATGATGAGCCCGTCTTCACATTTTGCTTAGGACAATTTCTTTTAGGCTTCACCCATACCAGACCAGTTTCTCAAATAAAGAGGTGTGTAAAGAGCATTGTTTAAAATATTGTGCCATTTTTATTTTTGTGTAAAAATCACACAGCTGCTAGTTGACTCTGCAGAGATACAGTACATCCATGCAGTTAAACATCTAGGATCCCACAGCCAAGAGAGAAGGAATTAAATAGAATATTCTTTCGCTGTTAGTCAGCAATTAATGCAAATTTACATACGAGTCCAAAGGTGTGTATCATATACAATATACACCACAGATCTGGGAGCAAATAGCATTTAAAATCCCATCAAAGACTTTAATGTCTGCCTGCGTGGATTGCCTTTTGGGTTCAGGGATGAGAAGGGAGCTATTGTGCTAGCAAACATAAATCAATCCCACATGGAGGTGTGATAGGGTTTTAAATGGTATTAGTTCCAGGCCTGGTACCAACACAACACACACACGCACACACACACAACAAGTACATCATTGTCCTAAACAGCAGAAATAAAGAAGGTGAGCCTTGATACAACAAGGGAGACAGTCCAGTCAGCCACCATGGAAACCTGAAGGCCAGCTGAGGGGAGTAAGGCTTTGTCAGCAGTTCGGTTCTTCACCAACACACAGAAAGCTCCAGGGACGAACACTTAAATGAGATTCTAACTAAACAGGACAGAGTACTGGCACAAAACCTTAAAGTTTCCAGGCTGAACTGAGGAAATGAAACTAGTGGTTCATTATTTTTTTTTTCCTCCTTAAAGCATCTTTTTAAATACATGTGAAAGATGAGAACAACATGCATAAAAGAAAGCAAAGGTCATGGAGGGACCTAACAAATAAAACTACAGCAGAAAGGAAGGAGGGAGGGGGGAGTTCAAAGTGCACCTGGGCCATTCAGGTCCCCCTTCCTGTTGACTGGTCTCTCTCCGTTTTTCTCTAAAGCTTCATCTGTCAGATTTCTGGTGAAACTGCTCAGACAAAACACTGATCTGGAGTTTACTTCCCTCTGGAGCTGGAGAAGCGGGCTGCTCGTCAGTACCGAAACTTGAATCGCAAACATACAGTAGATGGTGTTCTGGAAGATCTACGATACAAAAACCAGAGTATACTTCTCACACGGTTGCTACTATCATAGTATAAACAGCTAAAGTACAGTTGATCTGTGTAAATGTATCGCCCATACTTGCATAGTGCAGACTGCCTGATCGGAAAACAGCTGGGTTTTTAAACCACCCACTTTATCCCCACCATCAGTTTGGATCTGTGCATGTGCTTGCTAACAGGAAATCACAGGAAAACTTCTCCCTGATTAGCAACACAATTCTTCATAAATGCCACTTCCTGCAGTCAAACAGCTGGAAAAAGAAAAAGTCTTCAAAGCCTTCAAGTGAACTGTCTATTACAACTAACTGCTTTGCCACACAGGTGAAGTTAGAATGAAAATAACCACAGCACTCAAGAATAAGGGATTTAAAAAGAAAGCTGAAATGTTGAGCCAAAGCAATATTTGAAATGAAACAAAGCAAAACCTGAAGGGAGGCAAAAAAAAAAGGTTGCATCTTCAAAACACAGCCCAAGTAGATGTGAGAGAACAGAGTGATAGTTCAGTCATTTAGCAATAAAATTAAACTATTCAGTCACATCAAGCCTCCAATCACTGTAACATGAAGCAAAAAGACAAAGAATTCATTCATCATGTCTCACACACACACACACACGCACACAGACACACTCCAAGCGGCAGCACAAGGTGGGAGGTGGGCTGAATTCATGTCACAGGTTGAGTTAGCGATTAACGGCATCACACAAACAATACAGACAAGAGTCCTGTACGTCACTAGCCCAATATGTTGCACACTGAGCCCGACCACACCAAACTCCAGTCAAAAAAAATGTCAATTTTACATTCCTTACTTACTGGCAGATGTAGATTCATGCCATCAGCTTTCTATTGTTTCAAAGCCCCTAAACTGTGCTTCAGCCTGCTTCTGTGATCTATTCTGAAGGTTATTTGTGTGATATGAAGGCATAACTGTTGTCCAGTTCTGAAAACATACTGCTTCCAGTGTTTATGCTAAGCTAGGCTATATGCCGATGTCCGTACTTACCAACTGGGTGTGTGATTTACATCGCCCCATCTAACTCTTAGAAAGAAAACAGTTTCTTTAAATTGATCATTTTTTAAATCACCTTTGGTGCAGCATAGTCTATACTCCAAGACAGAATGAACATATTGGTGCTAGCTAATAAGCCACTAAACAGGAGCCCACATAAACACACACACTTCTGTCTTTCTTCAGTCAGCTGGGGAGTAAAGTAACCAGACACTGCAGTTGGAGTGTCTCGCCCGCCACTCCTAACCATTTCTCTGTCCGCTGTCGCGCTCGCCTTTGCCTCTCTTTAGAGAAAACTGAAAAGTGCCTGTTTGTAAAATCCCCCCCCACGCTCTTGTCACCTCCTCATCTTGGTGAGACTGTGCTCTCATGTCCTTCCGCTTTTTGATTGACAAGTGTGTGATTGAGCGTGAGAGCTTTAACAGAGCGCCCCGCGGCTGCTCGGAGCCTCCAGGGAAAGCCAGGATGATGGATGGACGCAGAGAGGGAGGGAGGGATGGCGGGGGGAATCACGCCGCCTTGCTTTGGATGAACAGCAGAGTTTTCCTCCTCGTGTTGGTTAAAGATGAGAGAAAGGTCTGAGCTGCTCCAGCTGCACTTCCAGAGATATCCTCTCTTCAAGCAGGTCCTGGAAAGTGACAAGCTTTGAGTGACTTTTTAGCCAGAAGGG